GTAGTAACAAGGGTGTGAGGGGCTGTGGGGGTGGGGTGGGGAGAGGACCAGAAAAGCGCAGATGACAGATTTTTGTCCGATGAAAACAAAAACCATGGACATTGTTCAAAAGAAACATGACATATTCCGATGAATATTATATCAAGTGACGCGATATTGTGTGTTGATTGGTTGAGCGCTGAAAATGTTTCGTAAAAATATTTTTTGTTAACGCACATAACAGACTCGAAATATTTCGCCGCGGAACATTTTTTTCGAATTCAAACAAGTTTCATTTTCTTCAAACAAAATACAATTTTTTTTTCGCAAACAAAAGTCTGTCATGTGCAAAAATTCTCATTGAAATTATTTCCTTTGATCACTTACGTAACCAATCTTTATGTTAACTATGAATTTTTTTCAGAAAACTATAAAAATTCGAGATTCAAAGTTTGGATTAGCACTAGTTGTTGAAACTTCTTCAATGGTGGGTAAATCTTCGTTTATTTCAAGTTCTTGGGATTTAGAAAGTTCACGAAAGAATTTGGGGCCTCGTCTCTCTCTTTCGAGATAGTTTTGAAAATTTCGTGTGCGGATTGAAGTGAATTTATACATAGGATTTGAGCGTCAATATTAAAGAGATTGTAAAAAGGTTTTCTAGATTTTCTATGTGTATCAGGGACACTGATAGCATCAATTTACATCATTCTAATTTTCAATCAGACGTCTGTGGTTCTTGTTAAAGAGATTGTAAAGAGGTTTTCTAAATTTTTTATGTGTATCAGGGACACTGATAGCATCAATTTACATCATTCTAATTTTCAATCAGACGTCTGTGGTTCTTGTTAAAGAGATTGTAAAGAGGTTTTCTAAATTTTTTATGTGTATCAGGGACACTGATAGCATCAATTTACATCATTCTAATTTTCAATCAGACGTCTGTGGTTCTTGTTAAAGAGATTGTAAAGAGGTTTTCTATATTTTGTATGTGTATCAGGGACACTGATAGCATCAATTTACATCATTCTAATTTTCAATCAGACGTCTGTGGTTCTTGTTAAAGAGATTATAAAGAGGTTTTCTATATTTTGTATGTGTATCAGGGACACTGATAGCATCAATTTACACCATTCTAATTTTCAATCAGACGTCTGTGATTCCTGCAATTCTACTAAAACTAAGTGTTTGATGACTCTGCAAATCGCAAAAGATATTATTAATCAATTCTATTTTATAGAGTGGAGGCTATGTTCTTGGTTTTAGAATTGACCCATCTGAAAAACTTCAATCCGTGGCCAAACAAATTCAGAATATACACAAAGTTTATAGCCATTGTCCAATATTTGGTGTAGAATTCGAAACTGAAGAAAAGGTAACTATCAAAATTTAGGCCTTTATCCTGGCAAAATTTCCCTCATTGTACACCTAAGATGAACCAGTGCACAGAGAAGACTAAATTGTAAATTTGCGGAATAAGTGAAGAAAGAGCTAGTACCAGCAAAATTTTCCTCATTGTACACTGCATAGAAGAAGCATCTAGTCGGATCTTTGTGAACCTAAGTTGTTATCCTTGTAAAATATAGTTGTTTCTTTCTTTCTTTAGGCCCCTGATGATAAAGACTTAAAAATAGAACCAATACAAGATGACATTGATATAGAACAGGACGACCAGACGGACGCCTTCGCGGTAAGTTCTTCCTTTTATTTTCGTCATTTTACAGTGTGGGCACACAAGCAGTCTTTGTCGCTGATTTTTGTCGTTGACTCGAATCTTAAATAAAATCTCACGTGTGCCTGTTCTTCCATGACAAGATTATCGTGTTGCCGCTAGGATTTATAATATCAAACAAGTTTGATAATTGTCTACGATAGTTTTATCGTCTGCAAAACAGACTGTCATCATTTTTTTAAAGTAACCAAACAAATGAGGTCATGTAAAGATTGCGATGCCCTAACTAAATGGGCTACAGACTGTCTTGTTTTATAGTCTACAAGATAGACCATCATCATTCATTTTAAAGTAACCAAGCAAATGATGTCATGTAAAGTTTGCAATGCTCTAACTCAATAGGCTACAGACCGTATTTTTTTGTATTTCAGGCGTATTTTGCAGATGGAGATAAAGAAAGAGATAGAGATCCTGTATATTCTGAAGAATTAGGTTTAGCGATTGAAAAACTCAAAGATGGCTTCTCTCTCACAGGATTATGGGAAGTCATTTCCTGAAATTTTTATTTTTTCGCGCTCATTCTTCTTCAAACATTCCTGGATATTTTGTGTGATTCTTCGTAGGAATATTATTTATTTTGGAAACTTTACAGTCATATGATCTGTTTCTTGGCCAATTTGTTAATTTATTTGGTAATAATGCTTACTCTTTTCCAAACACCTGATGGTACTTCTCTTTTGAGAAGTCCACTACTATACAACTTTTACTCTCGATTTTGCCATACTTTGGATGAGATTTTGATTAATAGAATTATCTTGCTTGTACAGGTGTCGTGCTTGAAGCAGACCATTCTTACTCTTTTCGAAACACCTGATGGTACTTCTCTTTTGAGGAGTCCACTACTATACAACTTTTACTCTCGATTTTGTCATACTTTGGACGAGATTTGTGATTAACAGAATTGTCTTGCTTGTATGTATTTTTTATACTGTACATTGTTATTCATGTAGTAATTGTTATCATTATGTTGTTATCCGTCCATAATAAAATGATACTTCTCTTATACTGTTTTTTTGGGGAGCCACGGTGGCTCAGTGAGTTAGACGCTTGCTCCCTAACCTAAAGATCCAGGGTTCAATCCTGGCGTAGGTTGAGATAATACCTTCAGATTTTTCAACCCAGTTTCCCCCTGTCAGTGAGTTAGACGCTTGCTTGCTAACCTGAAGGTCCAGGGTTCAATCCCGGCATAGTTTAAGATAATACCTTCAGATTTTTCAACCCAGTTTCCCCCTGTCAGTGAGTTAGATGCTCACTAACCTGAAGGTCCAGGGTTCAATCCTAGCATAGGTCAAGATAATACCTTCAGATTTTTCAACCCAGTTTCACCCTATCAGTGATGTAGGTAAGAGAGGCTGAAATGGAAAAAGTGTCATTCGGACAGGACAATAAACCGAGGCCCTGTGTGCTACAGGCTGTACACGTTAAAGATCCCTCGACAGTTGGAAATCAAAAGAGAGCAGGCTAATGCAGCAGTCCTGGCAAAATTTCCCTCATTGCACACTGTT